TGGCCCTTGGGATGGTCCTCGGTGGAACTCAGGGACAGGTCACGATACAGCTGGTCCTCTAGTGAAGTCACGGTGATGTCTAGGTCATAAGGACTAATGGTGTACAACTATACCATAGATATCTCTACTCGATTATTGTGAACCACTTAGAGATTTCTAGGGTGAGGGAGTTCTGTGAACTCGTCAACTTACGAGCACCCACTTATGCATGTCGATATCACAATACCGTTTACGGATGAGATGCAGTACACATACACTAAGTGCTAGTCTCTTAATGGGAAAGGCCGATATCCTCATTGGTGGCGTAACCCTTCGACTAGGAACACGTTTAACAGTTATAATACTTAAGTAAATATCTCACGATCCTAACGATCAATTACTAGTACTTGTAATAACTGTAAGGACTATATATATGCTTGTGACAAAGGGACAAATACATAGAATGCCAAGTTGTTTTATCAATCATACGAATAAATGTTCGTTTATTACCATAATGAATACGAAAGACCACAACCACATGTTGGCTTGTTGGTCACCTACTCTAACAGCACAGTTAAAATTGTTATAAAAAATCAAACACACATTTACTAATTAACCAAAAAATTAATTAAATATATTTAAAGCTTTGTTAGCTTTGTTAAATTAATAATACCAAAAAAAACATTTTAGAGCATCAAAACATAAAATACATTATCGAGTAACAAATATTCATATATAGGAGTAATAGAATATAGTTAATTACTAATTTTATCAAAAACTATGAAATTTAAATTAAAACATTAAATACTAAAAAAGTGCTTATTTCCTTCATCGAGTAAAAATTAATAATTTGATGATATATTTTATTTTCCTCCAAAATCATCCAACCATCGGCCACATCATCTAGTTTATTTTTAATCTATATTTTTTTTTAATTAAATGCCAACTCATTCAAACCAAGCATTGAATTACGTGTTATAGCAGGTCATATGACCGAAATTCTAAACTTTTGTAAGTTACATGACTAAAATTATGATTTTGAAATGTGGTGGACTAAACCTCCCAACTAGTAAACTTAGGGTCCATTTGGATGGAGGGGTTTGGAGGGGGGTTTGATTTGGGGAAATGATTTGAAAGACTCCAATTTGGAGTCATTTGAAATCCACCTCAATTGCTCCAAAACAACTAAAAATGAGGGATGCAGATTTGAAATTCATCTCCAAATCCCTCAATCCAAACAAGTTCAAGGGATTTGTTATTATGGATTTGAAACCCCTCATCCAAATTCCTCCATCCAAATGTACCCTTACAAGACTAAAAAACTCATTTTTCCATTAATGGAATATGTAATGTCACATGTGCGATGACTAGGGTGCCAACGTGGATGCCAAATATCAAAATCCAAAATTTAAGGTTTCAATTTATATATTATATAAATTTTTGTTTCAATAAAAGTTCAAATCTAATATTTTTATTTATGTAAATTATTTATTTAGTTTTTTAAGTATGTTATAAATATTTTATCCTTGATAATATTATTCTAAGTAACTATTTATATGTACTTATAGTAATAATAATTATAAATAAAATACACATTTCATACTCAAAATGTGCACATTCACTGCACTATGTTGACGAAATAAATGCACACACCTTGCGCACGAAAAACACATGCACAAACATTCATATGTAATAATTTTGCCTCATTACTTAAATACAACATCTTATACGAACCCCTAGCTTTTGAGACGTGCGAAATGGAATCCACAAACAAAAGAAGGTGTGCTTTCATATACCGGTGCAGTGCAACACAAGTCCGGTGGGCTTTCTCCTTGTTCGAAGAGGTCATTGCAAATGAGAGTGTTAGTGAAACACAATCTTGCAAATGACCAAGAAGCTTTTGCAAATCATCCTTACTATCGATTGCTTTGACGAACGCACCAAAAGCGAAACCGGACGAAATGAATAACCCGGCATTTTTGCTCGATAATTCATCTCGGCACTCGAGAAGCTCAAAAGCTGACTCGACAACTCTTTGGGAAACATTTGAAGGTATTTGTATGGTGCAATTAATATTATAAAAATAAAAATGAGTCTTGAACATACTAAACATCGGAGAAATAGGTGAAAACGCCACCACAATCCAACATATAACACATCAAACTTCCTTGGCAGTATTTTTCTAACTAATTGTCTGTACTTGTTAATAATATTTTATAGATAAATTACACATTTCATACTCAAAATATGCACATACACTGCACATGGGAGAAATGCACAAACATTTCGCACACACGATCCACTCACCTAGATTTGAGTGTGAAGAGTGTTTGGATTTATTACATGTTCCAACATAATAAAACACAATTGGTAGATATTTTGTTCACCACCATATGTACTTCACAGTAATTTCATCTTCACTTATGTATATATTCAACGACAAACCACTCTCACTCTCATCTTCATTCCCATCTGATTCTTCTTCACCCAGATCAGTCATGTACCGATCATATTCCCCAATCACTATTCCGATTCCTATTCCATTAGCAAAACATGATCCGATCTACAGCAAAGCAGAAGTTGGGCCCCACTTTGATAATGAGACTGCAGAAGAGTCGCACGAGATCGATGACTAGTAGAACTCCCATGAATGCTATACTAGTTAAAAGCGGCTTTAATTTGTCGCTGAAACTTTTCCTGAGACTAAATCTACTATACACAAATTTTCTATCTTTGTGTTTCACATCGAACCCCTCACAGTAAAAACTTGTAGATTCACGTGTGCCGATCCTTGGTGTCACATTAGATGAAGAATCGGGGCTCTGTTTTGGCTCCAGGCAGACATGAGGGTGAAACAGCGAAAGCGGGGGTAAAGTATTAATTGGAGCTGATCATTGGAGGTGTTGCTGCTTTAAATACTGAATGACGAGAAAATCTAACGTAACTATCTCGGGGGTAAAGTCGTAGTTGGAGTTGAATCTTCTTTCTGGTCAGTCTCCTTCAACTTGTGTTTCATTGGCAATACTGAAGTGGATGATAATCGTAGCTGTCGGAAGCTGAAAGATGTCTTCATGAACCGTCCTTTAATTTGATTTTAAATTTTTTATGTGACCAAATCAAGAATGTTTGGATTTAGCCAAAAAGAATCCACAAGGATAGTATTTTACAATTACTTGAAGATAGTATTTATAATAAAATACACATTTCATACTCCAAATATGCACATAAACTGCAAATGAAAGAAATGCACACACATTGCGCTCACTTTCTGCTAGATCCAATGAGCGAAAACATTTACATGGAGGTACAAATAATTCAAACAAGCATTATAGAATACACCAAACAGATGTATCAAGAAGCAGAATATTCCCGTTATCAAATTTGGTCCGAACAATTTTCTACTATTGCATTGTACAGAACAACAAACTGAGAGGGCTCAAAAGAAAGGTATATATCTTGTATAAGAAGCCATAATGTACCAACTTTCTTTCATTTGTATAGATCTTCATGACATTTTATTCAAGACGAATGATTCAACAAATTATTTTTGAGATTATCGACTTTTGGTTATAACAGTTGAACCAAAATAGAAGACACTGAGATATAAGAATAAAATTGAACAAATAAGTGAATAAACAATTACCAGTAACGAACCAACTGCGAATAAGCCCTGTTGTAGCTGTCTTAGCTAATACTGTTAGAAAAATGGAGAGCACACTCACTCAACACTCTCACACACGCATGAGAAGTGGAGGAGAATAGGAGAATTCTATTAATCTTGAAAACTTGACTTGTTCCAAATGGCTAGATTTTCCTAACATGAATCTAGTCTGGTACATGTATTACTGTATATTCACTCCGTCGTTCTTTTTTTCTATATTCTCTACCCCACATAATCATCTTGCCATAACCATCCAATTTAAATGGCAATAATCGAGAAAAAACAGAAACTCTCCATAAAAGACGTGTACCGATGTGCACCTACGTGAACAAGACACGTGCACGAGAGACAACTTCCAAATGTGCGAAAAAACAACCTAAGAGAATACACTTAACTATATTATGTTTCTTTAAGTAATTTGTTACGAATATCCTTAATTAGAGGAGCTTATTGCAATTGCTACCCCTGTGAAAATCGCAACTGCGCGTTTCCCACTAGTCATAAAAAAATTAGTAAATACCCCCTATTTATTAGTCAAAGGCAAAAATCCCCATTATCGCAAATCGTGTGTCTCGCTCGCTGTTTCTGCGATTTTTCTTCCTTTTTGTTGTCTGAAATGACAGAATTGCCCCCAACTTATTTTCTTTCTTTTTTTATTTTTTTTAATAAAAAAAAAGTATAAACCAAAAAAATAAATCGAATAATATTTTATTTTCTCAAACTTTACCATCACCGTTCTCGACCATCGTCCACGGCGGGGGACACCAAACCACCAACACTCCCCGCAATATACACCACTCTCTCATAGCAAAATCGGGTTTGTGGGGCACCACACACCTCTCCTCTTCGTCAATTTTTCTCAACTCCATCACCTGCAAACTCACTTCCGACAAGCGCGCACCAGGCGCTCAATTTATGTAGTACCGGAAGATGCCTCTTGTCGACTAACCCGCATTTTCCCAGCCACACGATGGTTCGACGAAATAGTACAGTACTACAGCTTCTCGCTGTCGTAGGCGACGATGTTGAGAATTAGTCAAACTTACTAATCTATCATAGTCTTTAGGATTTATGAATAAGTCAGAGTTTGTTTTATTTATCATTTTATTTAGGAAGCACGTTTATAGTTTTGTCAAAGTTTTTGAGTTTATTTAGGTGTTTAGTTATTTTTTTTTATCTATAAAATTCAGAGTCTGTAACTTGAGTTTCTTCATCACTTCAATTCTTCTCTACTATTCTGAATAATAAATTTATTCTCTTTCTTCTATGGCTTGCTGAGTTTTATTCTTTACATGGTACTAGAGCTTGGTTTCCTACCAAGTGTTTGATTTTATTACTCTTTGAGATGAATAGTGGAGGCATGGCATCATGTGTAGATAAGCTTGATGGTAACAATTATAGTTACTGGAAGTTATGTATAGAAGCTTATCTACAAGGGCAAGATTTGTGGGATCTTATCTTTGGTAATGAATCGGTAATTCCAGAAGATACACCACATAATGTTGAGTTGTGGAGGAAGTGGAAGATAAAATGCGGCAAAGCTTTGTTTGCTTTGCGGGCATCTACCAGCAAGGAGTACATCGAGCTTGTTCGTGAGGAAAAATCGCTAAAACATGTATGGGAGACACTTGAAAGGCTGTTCACTCAAAAGAATACGATACGGTTGCAGTTTTTGGAGAATAATCTCGCCGGGATGACTCAGGGAAATCTCTCAATTTCAGAGTATTTTCTGAAAATTAAACCTTTATGTGCCGAGATTTCATAATTAGATACATACGAGCCTATCAATAGCGCACATTTGCGTCGGTATCTTATCCGAGGCTTACGAAAAGAATTTATGCCCTTTATCTCTTCGGTACAAGGGTGGGCAGCCCAACCTTCAATTATTGAGTTGGAAAATTTGCTTTCAAATCAGGAAGCTTTGGTGAAACATATGACCAGCAACAAGGCTTACTCTCAAATGGATCGGAGGATGCTCTTTACACTAAGGATAATAAGAAAAAGTATGTCTATTCTAAAGAAGCTGATTACAAGTAACTCAAAAGTGAAGGACAATTGAAAGGCAATTCAAAAGGTTGTTATCGGTGTGGAAAGTTGGGTCACATGAAGCGAGATTGCCGTGTCAAGGTGGCTTGCAATCGGTGTGGGAAAGCAGGTCATATCAAAAAAAAAATGTCGTGTTAAGCTTGCTGAAACAGAAGCAAACGTTTCACATGAAGCTAGTGAGTATGATCATGTCTTGGAGGGCCTCTTCGGTTATCTGAACCGTTTGAGGAGCGAGGAGTGGTGGATCTTGCGGAGGATTTATCTGGACTTCACGAGGTGGATCCTGATTGCGAGGAGGAAGTGGCAAGTCAGAGCCTCCGCGAGGTGGGAGGTTGTTAGCATTGTCACGTTCTCTCTGAGTAGATGACTCGGGGACATCATGCACGATACGTAATCTTGTATGCCTTCCCACAGACGGCGCCATTTTGATGATGCTATAAATAGATCACCTTAAGTAGTTGAGATAGAGGAACCTTGGAGAGCAAAGTGGATCACTGCTCACGTACTAGATGACCCTGAGATACCTGCGAACAGAGAACACGTGAACTAGGCCGGGGGTTGATCCGGCGGAAACCCCTCCGACGCTCAAGTCAGACGTGCGGATAGTTCGATGATAGTAGAGAGAATACGAGCAGTTGAATTCATTGAATAATAAATTGTACCTTTATTTATACCTTAGTTGAGATTGTCGGACCCAAACCTTATTTGAAGGTGATTGGGCCTCGATGGTAGTGATCTCCAATATTAGGCTCGTGGCCCAGTAGGTAAATAAATTGTAAGCCCATTGAATTGGCCCAATTAGGCATATCACAATTTTTGAAGGCTATGGTCAAACTTGAGATGTGCATCATGTAGGTAAGAACGTACATTGACACTGAACCGAGAATAACTTTTATAAAAGTAATACATAGTACATTAAAAATATCATATTGAGCAACTTCAATTGGGAAATTAAGTGGAGAATCAAATGATAAGGGCAACTCAAATGGTAGGTATTAAAATGGAACATCTAATCCTCATTTGATACTTGAAATAATACTTAGGTACTTCTAAAAAACTTATATGTTCCAACCCATAGGCATCAAATAAAATTATTTTATTTTTAAAAATGCATTAAACATGATTGATAGATATAATTGGTCCTTATTCTATAGGAATTTATTAAAAAAAATATATTTTTTTCACGTTGAAACTGCGGTTACTATTTTTGAGGAATATTTGATATTTTAGTTTTTTTGGGTGCATTTTTGCACCTCAAGTAGATGAAGTATAAAAAAAACTACCCCTTTAATGCCGCCATTGGAGAAGAAATTTTGAGTTTTGGTAGTTTTAGCATTTAATACTCCATTTAATTCCCCCACTGGAGTTGTTCTAAAACTATCTTTTTAATACCTAGAATTCCTTCCAAAAGAGGGGTGGTTTTTTTGATACTCCATCACATTGAGGTGCAAAAAAAAAAAAAGAAGAATCAATTATTCCTTAAAAATTAGATCATGCAATTTTAACATGAAAAAATATAAAATCTCAACATAATACAACAAAAAATGAATAATAATTTATTTGATACTAATGGGCCGGAGCACATGAATTTTTTTAAAGTATCAAAATATTATATCAAACATCAATTAAGTGTTTGACATCATTTTGATATCTCCCCATTGGGGCCGCTAAAAAAAAAAAATTTAAGACTCAAGGTGCAGACCTTGTTAGTCTATTCGTTGGGTCAGGCCTTGTCTTTCATTCGAAAAAAACTGAAACATCAAGGAAAATGCACACATAAACACCCACATACATGTTGAAGGAATAAACCGAGAAAACAGAAGAAAAACTAACTATATATATATATATATATATCTTTATTTTTAGGCCCCGTTCGGTTACCAAGATAAGATTAGCCAATATAAGACTAAATAATCTAATGAAACCCAATAATTTTGTTGGACCTTGGAAGGTCAAACAAAAAAACATGCTTAAAAGGCAAGATAAGCCTTGATAACATAATATTTGCGGGTCGACCCGGCATGTTATTGAGAATACCAAACATCCAACAAAGTCTAACTAATTAGTTAGTCATGGCCAATCTCCCCAACCAAACGGGGCCTTAGTAGATAATTAGATATATCATTACATATATTCTTGCAGCTAAAATTATAATTCGATCCAAAAGTTTGTATTATTTGCATTTAAACCCAATTGGATTTATGTTTATTTATAAAATAATTTAAGAGGGTATTTTTGACTTTTCACGTCAAAAATTACACTCTCACTTACACAAGCCGCGCGTACAACACACGACATGTTGTCAAGGGATTTTTTGCCTTTGACTAATTTTCATCGGGGGGTTCCTACTAATTTATTTAACACGAGGGGTTTTTCGGCAATTCGAAATTATAGAGGGGTGGTCCTTGCAAAAAACCCATAATTATGCATACAAACAAGTTCATATTTGGTTATTTATGATAAGGAACAGCAATGAGTGGTGTTTCTTTCCTCATAACAATCCCAAATTTCTCGGACAGGTCAATCTTTTGTCCCTCTGGCAACCCCCACTCGTACGTATGAACGAGTGTTGCCAACAAATACATTACCATCTTCTCAGCCAACGGAATACCAGGGCACACCCTTCTCCCCGATCCGAACGGAAGATACTCAACGTTGTTTCCAATGAAATCAAATTTTTCGGAGTTATCATTCAAAAATCTCTCGGGTCGAAATATTAAAGGATTCTCCCAAACATGCGGGTCCATGTGGATTGACCACATGTTCAAGAAGACCCTTGACCCCTTTGGGATTGTGTGCTCTCCGATCGTGCAAGATTCACTCGGATACCTTGGAACGAGGAGTGGCAATGGAGGATGTAGGCGGAATGTTTCCTTTACAACTGCTTCGAGATAGTGCAGTTTCGATACGTGGGATTCTTCAACGACGTTGTTCGCTCCTACAACATTTGTTACTTCTTGCTGCACTTTTTGCATTATACTCGGGTTGTGCAAAAGCTCGGTCATCACCCACTCGACCATCGTTGCCGTAGTATTGCTCCCGCCGGCAACAATATCCTATAATCAAAGAGCATATTTTATGTCATTTCAATGAAAGAGAATCACAAAAAGAGTTACATTGTTAGCTTGAAAGAGTATATTTGTCGTGACTTTGGATCACAAGAGGGTTTATGCCTATAAAAATGTTTAGCGGTTTTTTATCTTCAAATTTGAACACAAAAACTAATTCTCCTATATATTCAAGAAACAACAGAACTAGGGGCACGCATAAGCGCATTGAGTAGAGTTGTGTCTGAGCTTGGATTAATAAGCAATAGAGGTTAGCACGAATCAAACTCGAGTAGCTTGATTTTAATTTTTTTTTTCTAATCGATTCCCGACTCAAAGCGATCGAGTCTCAAATCTTATCAATAACAAAAGTATATGTGTTCAAGTTTGTTTCGTTATGTTAACAAATCGAGTACAAACAAGCTTTTACTGAACGACGGTGTCGAATCTAGCTTCGAATAAATTAAGAGACGGAGGGCAAACCAACAAGAAAATGAAATGAAGGAAAGTGGAGAAAATTACCATCAAAATCGCCTTGATTTGAGTTAAACCAAATGTTGAGCCTTCTCCGAGTTGCTTATCCTTGAGCTCCAAAAGAATTCCCATAAAGTCCTTACTCCTTTCTTCACCCTCCATACCACCACCAGCCGCCATGCTCTTCACTTTCGCATCGATAAAACAATCGAAAATTCGTTCCACCTCAACCACCACACCCCTCATTTCTTTCGCGATTCCCTGCAAATCAAACCTAGCCAAAACCGGAAAAAAATCGGAAACGTTAGGCTTTCCCAACAAATCGACGAGTTTCGAAATATGAACCCGAAACCTGTCTCCAAGCCTGCTTCGCTCCATGGGGTCCATCTCACCTCCCTAGAGCAAGCTCATCAGTACATGGAGCTCTGTCAGAAAAATGAGTTCGCCAATTTGAACGGGACTCCCGATTTGTGTATCGAGATTCCCGATAAGCTTCCGCACTTCCTCCGTGCGGAAAACATTCGAAGCCTGGAGGTTGGTGTTGCTCATCATCTCACGAACGAACAGCTTCAGTATGTCGCGCCAGTAGGGACCGTTTGCCGTCCAGACGATGTCGTACCCGCCGTGGCGACTAGTGCTGCAACCGGCGGGTCCCGGTTCGCGAAAATGGAGTCTTTATCGCGAACTATCTGCTTTATCAAGGAAGGCGAACTTACAACGACACAGAGTTTGCTGCCGAGCCAGAGGCGGTAAATGGGGCCGTACTTGTGAGACAGTAGTGTGAACTGGTGGTGCAAGTTGTGTTTGAGAAACGGGAGGTATCCGAGAATCGGAAGGCCGTATGGTCCGGGCGGAAGTGGTGGCTTTGTTCCTGTTTTTGAGTTGCCGAGTACTACTATCCATGAGTAACAAAATAGGGACGCTAGAAGAAAAAAGAAGGTGAGAGCAGCAAGTCCAAGCTCATATTCCATTATGTTTTTTTCTTTGTTGCGACAAATTACTATTGTTAAGTGCAAGGAATATATGCTAGAAATAAGAATTATTATAACAAAATATGAGGATATCTTTTCCCCTGTTTTGGATATGACTAAATATGTGGCTTGGAAAGCAAACGTTGGAAGATAGAAGACGGCGAGAGCAGTAAGTCCAAACTAAGGGTTCATTATTATGCTACAATTAGGATTCAAACCAGGTTCATTATTACACTAACCACTAGATCATTTTTTTTATTTTTATTTTTTTTTGTGTACAATTAATAGAATTTTATTGTCACTAGACATGTGCACATGCGTTGCACGTGTCGTATTAATTTATCTATTATTTCATAATTATGTATCATGCTAATTGCTCTATGCCATCAAAATATTATTATTACATTTATAAAATCTATAAATATCTTGTTACATTGTTAAATTATGCCAATAAGTAGAATATAATTTTATTTAATAAAAAAAATTGTACTTTGTTTTCTACTTCAATTAACAATTACTTTTCTTAGTGTTTTGTTTAGAATGGTTTTTTTGTGAGTTTTATTTTCAACTCTCACTAATTTTAATGATTATTATTAAAATTTGGATGAAATTTGAATATTTTTCTAAGTGATTATCCTTTTTTCATTGAAAACTATTCTTTATTATTTATTTATTTCCAATTTCAACGATCTCATTTTTTTATTGACACAAAACCCTTGCGTGTGAAGAGCCGATGAAAATTATAGTTTTACTTTGTACTTTTATACGAGAAATATTTCTTCTGCAATTTTGTTTGCAATTATTAAAGATTCTTTCTGATACGGGCCACTATGACGAGACGAGTAAATACAAGTTGAGAAGAGCCAAATTACTATTATAAAACACGATGTCGGACGGCGACCTCCGAACGACGAGCTGGCAACACCATGACTCGTATTCCAGTATAAGCATGACCTAAAGCAGGCCCAATAAGAGAGGCCCAAACACTTGACTTGAGGGGGGAGCAAACCCTAAAAAAGGAAACCTTGGAGGCCAAGGTTTCCTCATCTATAAATAGAAGGATCATTAAACACATACACACACGAAAATACATTATCTACTACTACATTATATACATACTCATCTTTTCCGATCACTGACTTGATCGTCGGAGCTCTCCCGCCGGGAACCCCTCCCGGCGTTGCAGGTACCCTCACCGGAGTACGGACCAAGGTGACTTGAGGAAGACGGAAGCCCCACGGACCAAATCAAGTGGCGCCGTCGGTGGGAAAGATCTAGAAATTTTGGAAACAACTTCCAGGAAAATATCAGATCTGCCCCCGGAAGTCCAGATCAGAGCTATAAACGTAGAGAACAATGGAAGAAGGAGACACCACTACCCGAAATTTGCAGAAGGAACTAGATGCAGCAGCTCGCCATACGCCCACTGATCCGTCGTCCGTCTTAAAGGACAAATCAGGATGTAGCCTAGTTACGCCTGAAAAGGAAGGTCGGATTCCCTTTGTCTCGGGTAGCCCCTCTTTCGAGTTCCAGAGTGGCGAAGCTGCTTCGAGAAAACCAGTCACGGCCCCGGCTCAAGTCTCCAATGAACGAACATACACCAGAGACGAGGTGGAGACCATGATCACCGCGGCCATTCGGAACTACACTCAATCCTTACCCCAGGATAACCGGCCTAGGAGAGATCTTAGGCGCTCCCCGAATGAAGGGCGAGCTGAGGATGAATGCGACAGCTATTCGGAGAATCGAGAAGGCAACAGTCATGGCGTCAGGATGGAGGTTGACAGTCTGAGGCGCGATATGGATGAGTTAAAAGCCTTGCGGAATGGACCAACGCGAGATCTCGCAGGATCTAGCCCCTTCGCCAGACATCTCGATAGCGACCCCATACCAGCTAATTACCGACCAATTATGTTCGAGTATAACGGCACGTCAGATCTAGCCGAGCATCTGAGTCGGTTCAACAACACAGCATCTCTCCACCAGCTCACGGAAGGAGTGAAGTGCCGCGCCTTCGTCACCACTTTAGCTGGGCCGGCTCAAGCCTGGTTCGGCTTGTTGCCGCCTGGAAGCATACACTCCTTTGGACAGTTTGCCAAAGCCTTTATGAATCAATTCACTAGCTCGAAGAAATGCAAAAAGACCTCGCTGCCGCTGTTCAGCATCCGCCAAAAAGAGAAAGAAAGTCTTCGGAACTACATCAAACGGTTCACTTCGGCTACGTTGGAAGTCCCCACCACGAGCGACGAGGTGCTTATGGCAGCTCTTTCACAAGGATTAAGGGATGATGAGTTCTTTCGAGCCCTAGCGCTGGAACCCTCACCTGATTTCGATAATTTGCTGGAAAGAGCATCTAGATTCATTAATCTGGAAGAAGCCCGACAGCAGAAAATAGAAGAATCTCACCACACACTGAACGTGCGAGCCAACGAAGCAAGAAAAAGTAAGGAGCCCGTGTTGTCCCGAAGAGATACAATACCTGGTCGAGGCACCATCCCGGATGCCAAGGGATCCCGATATCAATCATATCAGCCCCTCACAGCACCCTTATCCCAGGTGTTATGCGCGATCGAGAAGAGAATTGACTTGCGTTGGCCCCGGACTGCCCGAGAGGAGCCTCGCCGAAATCCCGCATTGGGCACCTTTTGTCGTTTTCATAACGAATACGGACACGTGACAGATGATTGTTCGTATTTGAAGGATGAGGTGGAGCGTCTTATTATGGATAATAAAATCGGGGATTTTGTAAAGATAGACCCCCCCCGAGGGCAAAAGCGCGAAGCTCAATTCGGAAATCCTGCGCGAGTCCCGCCTCCACCACCGATACCCAAACGAGGATACATCTAGATGATTTCTGGAGGACCTACGGGAGGAGACACTCACCGAGCTAGGCGGCGTCATCTCGGTAACCTCAAAAATAACCATGAAGTTTGCCAAATCTCTGTACCAAAACGCCGTCAGTATCCCACCATCTCGTTCGGACCCGAAGACGAAGTAGACCTCGATGACTTTCATTGCGATCCCCTCCTTATCACAATCAACGTCGGAGGATACGATGTAGCCCGTGCCTTTGTTGACTCGGGAAGTTCGGTTGATGTCATATCTTATGAGTGCTTCCTGCAAATGGAACTTGATCTCCCAATCTTCCCTGTCACCACCCCGATATTTGGGTTCACAGGAGGATCTTTGACTCCGATCGGACAAGTTAAGATCCCCGTCACCATGGGAACACCACCTCGAGCACGTACACAAACTGTCAACTTTGTCATTGTCGAGGGGTCCACCACCTCGTACAACATCGTGATAGGACGGCCAATGATGCACATCTTCCGGGCAATCCCCTCGACTATTCACCAAAAACTCAAATTTCCGGTTGACAGAGTAATCGGAGAAGTCCGGGGTGATCAAGCTCAGTCAAGATCTTGTTACGTCGAAATGGTCATAGTGGCGGAGAAAGGACGACGTGATACCTTCATTAAAGAAGATCTAGGAGACGAGAAACGCCCTCGAATCGATCCGGAAGAAAAAGTCGCCCATGTACAGCCCATGGATGAGTTGATGACGATTGACCTCGCCCCCGGCATGTCGAAGCAGACCCAGATAAGCAAAGACTTAGAACCACCTTTTCGAGACGAGTTAATAGCACTATTGCGATTTAATGTAGACATCTTTGCATGGCAACCCTGCGACCTGACCGGTATCGCACCTCGCACCGCTGTACATAGACTCAATCTGCGACCCGAGTGCAAACCTATCAAACAAAAGCGGCGACACTTCGGTATCGAAAAGGACGAAATTATCAAGCAAGAGGTCCAACGGCTCCTTGATATTGGGCATATTAGGGAGATCCAATTCCCCACATGGTTGTCCAATGCGGTGTTGGTACAAAAGACTAATGGGCAGTGGCGGATGTGCATTGATTTTCGAGACTTAAACAAGGCCTGCCCGAAGGACGACTATCCCTTGCCCCGTATAGATCAGCTCGTAGATGCTACCGCCGGATGCGAGCTACTCAGTATGATGGACGCTTCGCAGGGGTACCACCAGATCCCGTTGGAGGAAAGGGACCAACCGGCAGTAAGCTTCATCACCGCCACGGGCACCTATTGTTATGTGGTGATGCCTTTTGGCCTGAAAAATGCGGGAGCCACGTATCAGAGATTAATGGATAGGATGTTTCGAGCTCAGCTCGGGCGCAATATCGAAGTTTACGTCGATGACATGCTGGTCAAAAGCAAGAAGTGTTCCACACACCTTGCTGATTTGGCCGAAACATTTGCCACCCTTCGCCTTTATGGGATGAAATTGAACCCTGCAAAGTGTGCGTTCGCAGTAAAGGCCGGGAAGTTCCTCGGATACGTAGTTAATCGAGAAGGTATCAAGGTGAACCAAGATAAAGTCGAGGCGGTACTCCAA